ACAAAGCCTTAGTAGTCACATAAGTGGCTATAGTTTTACTGATCAATTCTAGTCTTTTCCTTACTGAAACGAAATTTTCATTGCCACTCCCGTCGTGTCTAGGTTTTTCTTGTTTTGCTGTCGTCTTTCTGAGCTTCTTTCATCCAGTTGAAGTGTGCATCATTCCACGGAAAACAAAATCAGTGTACATATAAATGATGCCTGTGTATACATATTTATACTTATCTATTGAAGTAATATTTGTGTTAGTACTGTTCACCTTTTTCTGTAACTTCACAACGGACCAACTTTTGAACTGTTTATTTTTTTCTTCGAATCTCAACCTGTAGTGATAAATTCTGGATAGCCGTCTTTTTTGTATGCCCATTTTTCATCCATCTTTGAAAGAATTGTTCTGTGCATTATATCAGCTTGACAATTTACTCAGGAAGCTCGGTAGTCCTTAATCCCGGGAAGGATGTCCAAGACTGTTATCTACTTNGGAAGGATGTCCAAGACTGTTATCTACTTAAGGTAAGTTCTTCACTGTGGTGCCAAGTTTTTCGTCCTCAACCCGTATTGCTCTTTTATCTCAAAATTCAATTCTCTTAAAAATTGTGTGTTAGCTATGTGTAGCGTAGTTTCATGACGAAATACAATTATTTTCTCTTATTTTAACAAACCAGGTTATGTTGTGACGCTCAAGGTGAGTTCTGTTCTCCTTATTTTTTAATCCATGCTCTTGTGATGAAACATCTGCGCAGGATTTGCAGTCGCACTGTGGTGTCTTTGATATGTTAAGTTTCTTTTTCCTCTCTTTGTGTGATTGTTAGGTATTTGTGCTTCTGAGCGTATCTTTTTTCTGATTCTTTAGCTGCACTCAGTGCCTAATGCAAATATGATCTGTAGTTTTCAATCTGAAATATTCTGTTTTTCGCATATCTGCAGGTGTAAATGCTCGAACTAACTGGTGATCTTCTTTATTTTTCAGCCTTTTTAGTAAGTTTTTTAACTCGTGCCTCATTGCTGATGCTTGGTATGACGAGATATGCCTCATATTTGATCACTGATCAGTCTGTTTTATCATAGCTCATGAAGTGCGTACCCACATTTTTCAACAATGTCTGGTTGATTTCTGTATGCGGAACTCTGCAATTTGCTGTTGTGTATTGACCCATCACAATTCTGTTATGGATATTTGAGTACGGTAGACAGCTGACGGATAGTATCCTATTTGACGTGACATTTTCCGTGTCATTTTAGTATTACTGTTTGTCAGAAGCTTTGTCAAACAGCTTTGTTATCGTCCGGTTCATTACCACGTCTAACCTACGGGGTTCACCACTCCAAGTCCCGGGGCTTAGGTTCCTGGTTTCTATCATGACGAGACTATACCTTGAAGTGGTGTGATGGCTTGTGCACCTCTCTGACCCAACGAGCTACACCAGATGACTTTTCAAGCCGAATATCTAATCATGCCTGGAAAGTCGAAGGGTAGAGGTCAGAAGAAGTCCAGTCTCCTGGTCCTCCAGGTTGGAGGTTCGACTAGAATTTGTATTTCAGTCGGTAAAAAGTAGTGGAAGAGTAATCAATCCAAGTGAATGAGCCTCCACTTCGCTTCACCTGCTGCCGTGCGGTCAGGTTCTTGTCAGAACTAAAGGCTTTGGTTGAGAACCCTAATCGTTCTCCTGCTTAGTGGCTGGACACCCTAGCAGTACCTGTCCATCAAACCCCATTGCATATGCATTGCGAGTTTGGCAGCGATCAGTGAAGTTCGCTTCTCTGTATTTTGCTTTACGATAATAGTAATAATAATATCATCGAACAGCGGGTCATCGTGACTATGGGGCTTGCCCCGTCTGCTGTTCATCACAAGAAAGTGTGTAATAAAAAAATGAACTACGCCACCTAGTCCTCCTTTGTAGGCGTAAATGGAACTCAGCTGGTCCTGATTTGTATCTTTGTTAGGGCTTTGCCGCCTTCGCATTTTCCCTGAGAGTTTGTCTTCTCTGATTGGCTTAAAGACGTACACTTATTCTTTACTAGTAACCTTTACCAAACTTTGGGCCTCTGTATTGTCCTTTTTGAATGTCTTCTGCATGAGTATGCAATATTTCTCGGTTGCTAACATCCTTTCAAGTATCGCTGCTGAACCATCTCTTTGTCATGTGTAAATGTAACTTACTGTCCTGCGTCCCACACTTCTATCACATAGGCTCATGAAACCTAATCTTCTTAATGGCTATCCTTTTAATTACTTACTCAATTTGAAGTATAGTCACACAAACCTGGTCCCTAAAGGGCTCGTGTATAATCACGACTCTACGCAAGTAAAAACGGGTGATTAAATCACTCCTAGACACTTCGTCGATTCTTGGAAGTTTGAGCATACCGTCAAATGCGTAAGGGCAATGCAGCTTGTGATAGTTATGCGAACGATTTGTGATGGCCGGCAAAGAGCACCAGACAGCCATTTTTTCAGGTTTGGGGTCGTCAGCAGTGCTGACGTTTTTATCCTTGTCAGAACCCAAACCATGAACCATAGGGTTGGGACTTTAAACCCTTACCCCTAATCAACACAATCGATGATCATCATCTCGTGCGAATGACTGAACCACCCTAGAGTGTCATGTTTCGATTTTCCTATCCGAGTGTTCGCATACACAAGACATGGATACAAAAGGTAAGCACTGCTGACGAGACCCAGACACGAGGACACAAATGTCTAGTGTTCTCCGTAGGAGTGAAACCCACATCCAAGATCAACAGTGCCTGATGCCTATGAACAATCAAATGGGCTCAGAAGATGTCTATTTTGATCTTAATATTGCTGGCAATTTCGAAAATGTATAGTTTGACGCGTAGTTACGGTATCCTTACTGTTGGGGCAGTCCCACGTACGCATTGCCTCTGATACATATCAGTTTCCGTTTTACAACCACTAAACATGCACTTTCCTGCGCCGGTTTTGAATCCTGTCTTTCGGCCACCCATTCTAATCGAAGAGCAGAATGCATATTGATGTGTTGAGAGCGAATTCAAGTGGGTGATAGAGAATTCATATAGACTGATATCAAGGGAATAATCAATAGGTGCATGAGCACCACTGTTCGCGACATCCAGCCATATCGCTCTG